CATATTGGTTCTGCTAAAGTTAGCGTAAAATAACATCTGTTGTCTGGAGTTTACGCGGGGTACTAGTAAGTTGAATTGGCTGAGAAGCTCAGCACAATCGATTTTGTTATGAAAAAGATTATATACAAATCTAACAGCAATTATATTACGACGAGTTTCTAATGATAGTAAATTATAACGCGACAGTAATAGGGATTGCTCACAACCTCTCGGAGGGTAAATACCATCTTCTAGATACACCATAAATTTGAGGAAACGTCTCTGAACCGATTCTAAACTAAGACAGTGTACATCGTAAATAGGATACCAGATTAAGGAAGCATATTCCAATCTCGACCTTACAAGCGAACAAAACAATAATCTGATAGTTTCAACATTGGAAAAGCGACGACAGTTTCTATAGATAAAACCATATATTTTAGAAGCATTGTTAACGGTTGTATTAATGTGGTCAATGAAAGCAAGTTTGCTGTCAAAAACTACACCTAGGTCTTTGAATGTTTGTGAACGCTCCATTAGAATACCATTTACATTGTACGAGTAGGTGATAATGTCTTGTTTTCTTGAGTAAGAGACTACTCTACATTTGGAAATATTGAGTTGGAGACGATTGCTGTCGCACCAGCGGGTCACCGAGTTTAAATTTTGTTGGAGAAGAAAACAATCACTGACTGAATTGATGATTGAAAAGAGTTTGAAATCGTCGGCGAACAATGACTTTTTACAAGATACAGATTCAGCAAGATCGTTGATAAACAATAGAAAAAGCAATGGACCCAGATTGGAACCCTGTGGCACGCCCGAAGTGGGTACAAATGCAACAGATGTAAAATTACGATATCTAACTCTGAATTCTCTATCAAATAAATAGGATTGAATCAATTTTAATAGTGGTTCGGAGAAACCGAAACGGCTGAGCTTTTCCAGTAAAACGTAATGATCAATCCTGTCAAAAGCTTTTTGGAAATCAGTGTATATTACATCGACCTGACATTTATCATCCAGGGAATCCGACAAATACTGGGAGAAAACAGCAAGATTCGAGACCGTTGAACGGTTAGCCATAAAGCCATGCTGATATGAAGAGATAAAAGGTTTGACTGAATTGTAGATAGTTTCGTAAGTAATTGACTCGAAAGTTTTCGCAAAATTGCACAGCAAAGAGATCGGTCTGTAGTTTGTAACGTCATTGGTTTTGCCTTTTTTAAGTACAGGACATATAAAGGCTTTTTTCCATATATCTGGAAAAGTTGAATACTGCAACATCCGATTGAAAATTTTAGCTAAGGGAGCAGCAAGAACAGAGGCACAATCACGTAGGAGAAAACTGGGAACACCATCAACACCTGTAGTTTGCGAATTTTTGGATCGCTGCAAGTGTTTTCGAACATCATCGACGGAGATCTCATTGACTGAAACGGTATTATTGAAGACGCATTGTTGAAGTGATAGGGAAGCTGGGTCGAGGGGAGTAGAATGTATAAAAACACTATGAAAGTAATTGCCAAAGGCGTTAACAATGTCTGCAGGATTTGAGATTTCTTCGTTGTTATAACACATGACTCCTGGGATACGCGTAGAACCTTTTTTGTTTTGGATGTAAACCCAAAATTTGCTCGGATCATTGATGATTGAATTTTCTATAGATGAAAGGTAGTGATTGTGTGCCTCTTTAATAAGTTTCTTGCATTTTGCACGCTGAGTATTAAATAGGTGATAGGACTGGTCACTTCTGAGTTTTTTATGCTGTTTGTATGTAGACCACTTAAGGCGTAAGTTGCTTATAATTTCGGATGAGAACCAAGGTGGGTAGTACCGGCGATCACGATAAATAGATTTCGGAACAGATAAATCAAAAAGACTGTACAATTTATCATAAAATTTTTTACATGCTAAATTGACATTGTTAATATTTTCCAAAAAGGACCAATCAGCGTTTGTAATTAGTTCATAGAGAAGAGGAAAGTTCGCTTTCTTGAAATTGTAGTTCGAAACACTATTATTCATACGGAAAGAGCTGGGAGGTTTGCCAGACTGGAAATTTAGATTCAGCTCAAGCGCTGGGTGATGGAAATCTTCGTCGACCAACGGACAGATAGCATTTTCGACAGAACATTCAAGATTAGAATATATCAAGTCCAAGAGCCTTCCATATCTATTTACAACAGTATTAAATTGCTGTAGGTTGTTGAAATTCTGAAATATATTCAAAGTAGTACTAAATCCACTATTACTCCTAGTTATGAATTCAGGAACATTGAAATCACCAAGAAAGATAACTTGATTATTGCAACGCAGTGGTGCTAGTCGATTGAGTGCATCAAAGAAGAGTTCAAAAGAAGGGAGAGAAGTAGCAGGCGGAATGTATAGCACAAATACAAATAATTTATTGTTACAATTATCGCTAATTTTCACACATAATAAATCTATAGAGGGAAAAGCAATATTTATATCAGTGACATCTATTTCGTTACACTTAAACGAACTCTTGGCGGCTAAAAGTACACCACCACCTCTAGTGAGTACATTCCTGTCCTTTCGAAAAACAGTGTAATTACAAGAGAACAGCTCTGAGTTATTAATATCAGAATTAAGCCAAGTTTCGCTTAATGCGATTAAATCAAAATCATTTTCATGAACAGTATTACAGAAATCTGAGATTTTTGACCTTAAACCACGAACATTTTGGTAGAGTATAAGTGAAGAACTGCGGCAATAAATGGGTGTCTGTACTAGTTTAATATTTTTGGAACGCCTTTAACATATCTAATTTTCAAACCAGTTTCGCCGTTTGTAGTACGAAGATCCATTTCATCTTTCAATAGCTTTTTTAAAGTTATCGTAAAATTAAACATCAGGAGTCCCCGAAATTCTTTCATATTTTGAAGGTAAAACACAAGGCGCTCCTGATAATCTTTCAAATTTTAAAAATAAAACAAAAGCTGCCTCCGAGATTATTTAAAATTCTTTACAAAATAAAACAAGTGGGGTCTCCGAGATTCTTTTGAAGTTGTAGCAAAGTGAAACACCAAGAGACCCACGAGATTCTTTCATATTCTAAAAATAAAACACAAGAACCCCCAAGATTCTTTTAAACACATGGAAAGATGAAACACCAGGAGTTCCCGACATTCTTTCACATTTTAGAAGTAAAACAAGGAGCCTTTAAAAAATAGAATACATGGAGTGTCCGAGATTCTTTTAAGTTTATGGTAAAATGGGGCAGCAGGAAGTGACGAGATGGTTTTCATATTTTAAAAATAAAACAGAAGAAAGCGGCAAGATTCTTTTAAGCTCACTGAAAAGTGAAACACCACAAGTCCCCAAGATTTTTTTAAATAAATCGAAATATGAAACACCAAGAACCTCCAAGATTCTTTTAAACACATCGAAAAATGAAACGCCAGAAGTCCCCGAGCTTCTGTATCCTCGTATTTTAAAAATGAAACATAAGGAATCCCTGACATTCTTTCAAATTCTTTAAAAAATAGACGACAAGTAGCCTCGGAGATTCTTTTAAGGTTATCGTAAAATGAAACACTAAGAGCCACCGAGATTGTTTTACATTTTAAGAATACGACACAAAGAACCCCCGAGCTTCTTTTAAACACATCGAGAACAGAAACACCGGGGGCCACAGAGATTCTTTCATATTTTAAAAATAAAACTCAAGAACCTCCGTATTCTTTTAAACACATGGAAAAATGAAACACCAGGAACCCCCGAGATTCTTTCAAATTCTTTAAAAAATAGAATAGAAGGAGTCTACGAGACTCTTTTTTTAGTTTATCCTGAAATGGAACACTAGATTTTTTCATATTTTAGAAATGAGACATAAATAAATAACTCCTGAGATTCTTTTAAACCAATCGAAACATGAAACACCAGGAGTACCCGAGATTCGTTTAAACATATCGAAAAATGAAATACTACATTGAACTCCTCGAGATTCTTTCAGATAACAAAAATAAAATACAAGAAGTCCCTGAGATACTTTTCAATAAAAAAAAAAATAGAACACGAGGAATCTCAGAGATTCTTTTAAAGTTATCGTAAAATGAAACATCAGGGGTCCCCGAGATTCTTTCACTTTTTAGAAAAATGTCAAAGTTCGAGCTGGAATTTTATATTATTTAAACAAATTCTAAACTTTCTGATTCTCTTACACGCAGCCAGAAGTATGTAAATCTTCCTAAATGGCTCAGTGTTCGTATTCTAGCAGCTGCATTGATGGGCTCAGAACTGGCCACAATGTAGTGTTTTTTTTTTTATTTCTGTGCTCTCCTTCATAATGGAGAACATAAAACTCACTTTGTGCACAAAAATAAGACTTTGTAAACTTAAGCACGATGAAGACAATCGTAAAAATATAGAATATGAAACGATTAATAAACGTTTACTTGCTCTCAAGAAGTTCTAGAGCGAAGGGTAATTTTTATAGCGATTTTAAGTATTTCGTCGCTAAAACTACAGGAATTGTTAAAACACGAGGAGTTCCTTCTGTCGGGAGCTTTCATTATTCATTCGAGAACACGTCCCCTATTTTATTGAATGACGTAATAAGCGTCCACTTCTTTGATCACGTCATAAGACTCGAGTTATTCTACTTTATTTGATGCCTAATATCATGCTTATGGGTGCTCGTTCTGACTCAAATATTCTATTCCACAGTAGGTTGGGTGAAATAAGTGCCATTTTTATCATTTAATAACGCAACGCATGATTTTTGTAAGCAGTAGTTACTCCAACTAAAATTGGTGACAGTTTATGTTGAGTTTAAAACAGTTATAGACCATGTTACGATTTTACCAAATGTTTAAGTCGAACGTTCACACCCGGATAAGGCATGCAACAGCTGACAAACACACTGAAAATGACGATACGCGTTTAAGATTCAACAAAAAATTGCCACTTTCTGGGACAGCAAAAGTCTAACGAACAAAATAAGCTATTATTAAACACCCCCATTATTTACGCAATCCAGCAAACATTCATCTTACCTGTGGCGGATAATGCTCAGGAAGGGAGTACGCCGCCTCCCTGTAGGCCGCCAGAGCCCTCTGCAGCCGCCCCTGCTCAGAGTACAGCGCTCCCAACTGCAGGAGGGCCGACACCCTCGCAGTTTCGTGCTCGCGCCGGTCCCTCAGACCCGTGCCGTCGAGGCGAGATCCTTGTCTAAGCACTGACACCGCTTCTTGACACCTGCCTGCAGATATCAGCGCGGCGCCCAAGTTGACATAGGCCACTGGAACAACATCAACATGAATTAAACGGAGATATTTGCATTAACGAAGTAACATCTTAAAACGTCAAGGCCTCTTCGCGCGGGTTTGAATCCTACTCGCTGCGCCAAATTTGCAACTAGTGCGGGGGCAAGGTTTGCATCATCGGGACGAGACAATAACGCTTTGAATTCGAATTGGAATAATCATAGTGCATGTTCGCTTCACGGTTTCGTATAAATTAGACGTGGAAAATACGGTAGCTATTGAGTTTCCTAGACGAACACCCACTGCATTGGTGCACTGGGAAAACAACGATTAATTAACGCCGTGAGATCCTAGTAGCTGCGCCAAATTTTCTTCGGGTCTTCAATTAGCGTGGTGCACAAATGTGCACCGTGACAAGGTGTCGCGCTTCTCCTCGGCCATTTATCTTCCGAGCTCCTCCGCAGCCGCTCCGTGTCTTCCTCACACGCCACATGTTCATAAAGAAGTTCGCATTGCGGTCGTCATTGTGAATCTCCGGCATAAAGTGTAACTATACACATAAACAACTTAAACTGTCTACGGTGCTGTATTTTCCGGCCCATATCTGCTTATTTATGACGGTATTTGATTTGCCGTGTTTACGTTAGGCTGCCATGTTGATATTGGAGCCGCAGCTCGCTCCAGATTTCGTTTAATGGCGGTGATCATCAATATTTAACTACAACGGTCGAGGATCTCGCGTAAAACTAACCCAACCCAGTGTCAACTTTATTACGGGAACTTATTAATTATGGGTGAGTGAGGAACGATGTCTCATATCTGGACGATATTAAGCGGTGTCGAGATTAATCCTGCTATATACACGATATTTAGCGGATATTGCGTCCCTTCCTCTATTTGCTCCGACCCCTCTTAAATGCGCCGGATAAATCTGAACCGGTATTAACTGTAGCGCCGCCACCCGGACAAATAGCCAACTTACTGCTGCAGGTGCTAGATGAGCTCGATCTGAGCTCCGCACTATTATCTCGAAAATTTCGTTGTAATCTCCGTCTTCGAAATCTATTTTCAGGCGACTGCTTATTATTATTGTTGAAAGTTGGCTGACAGACTTAGCTCCGATTATTATAAGCCAAAACAATGAACAGGTAGCTATTGAAGATTTTAAAACAAAAATCTCCAATCAGACTTTCAACTCAAACGCGTATTGTGTCAGTAAAACTAAACCCAAACTAAAAATCTCAACCGACTAGTGCGTTATGAAAAAGCCGAACTTCTAATAGAGTCCTAGAACATGTCGGGTAAATAGTAAGCAATCTCCAAAGTGATTTATCCATTACGATCCGCTCGCCTCGGCTCGTTCTAATCCCGCCCCAATCGATAATACTTAAATCCCCCGAATCAAAGTTTTTAAAGTGAGACCGTTTAAGTCGATTTGTGTGGTATTTGAGATCATTAAAATGCAGCCGGTTCTGCCATAATTCGTTTTGCCACCCGCACGCTAATCCCGCGGAGAGGGTTAATGAAACCTTGAGCCATCAAAGCCGACAATTTTCTAGACGAAATTGTGCATGCAAGGGTGCGATTCTTACGTGATTTTCAGGCGATTTCGCCTCGAGAGGAGTCCTCGTCAGGTGCGGTTCCTGTTAGAGCGGATGGAAGTGCAAGACAAGCAGATCCCGTCTCGAATTTATTTCGCGACAAAATTTTGCTAAAAGGGGATGTTTCCGCTCAATTAGGTTTGTTTCGTGTATGGAGAGTTGTGTGGTGCAGTACACAAAGTTTGCGGAACTACCACTTGATGACTTGTTTATCTCTTATACCCTTGAGCGCACACATTTTCGCACGCTGTGAAAGGAGTTCTTCAGTTTCGATCAACGGAAGAGGTTTTTAATCCGCTGGATGCTGATAGTGGGCTCGGGGGAGCTCGGAAGTGCTGATTGTTGTAACAATTGGCGGGTTATTACGTGTGGGAGGTGTGCGGAGGAAATGGACTGTGAGGGACGGTTATTTGAGTTATGTGACTGGAGTGTCGGAGAATAAATTAGAACGTAGTAGGATTAGAAGCGTTATAGTAGCACAAATACGTCGCATGAGAACTTGTTTGATCTACAAACCAGAACGCGCTCAGGCCAAAGTCGACTCTAAGTGACCAGAAGCAATTTGATCCATAGCTATGTTATAATTTCGTTAGAGCTGATCTGATACACACGATAATTTGTTTGGTGGAATTTTAGAAGAAACAACTTCCATGTTGTCATGAACTTTTCAAATTAAGTAAGAAATAGATGTTTATATTGTTTAAAACAAAAGACATTGTCATTAACCAGTAAGTATGTAAAGCGACACGAGGAACACAAAAACTAAAGTTGTTCCAAAGTTTGGAACATTCGATTATATTGTGCTGCACCCCGAGCATCAAGTTTCCTCTAGCTTATAGAGGGTAAGAAACTCATTTCGTTGCAATAGGGGTGTGTAACCTATCCTGTGCATGTTACTTTTTCTTAATAGCGCCCCTTCAAACCAAAACAACCCCCTCATTCACCCTTTCGTTACGTTTTAAAATTTCTCTCCACGCCCCACCTCCGCCAAAAAGACAATTTAAAAACGCCCATCAAGAGTTGAGCAAACGCTAAACAGAGCACCCGTCCGGAATAATTAATTCTGACAAGTTTAAATATTTTTCGCAGGCATCTTTTCTGGCTAATTTCCGCTAATTGCAGCGAGCCCTCTCCGTTTATGGCGCCTAGCTAGACACTTTGATAAATTGAAGGCGACGGCTGGACCATAATGGACAGGTTGTCGGCTTGCGGAGTGTCTGGAGATCCATTTGCAAGTGCGGTTAATTAGCGGTTGGAACGCAGCAAACACTGTCCCCGAAGAAAAGAGATGCCGGAGCCCGGAAATACGCAACCGAATGGCGGCAGAGTGGACCCGGAACACCATTGTGTGTCGTAATGCGAACCCGACGCTACCAAAAAAGACGATATTCGGTCCCTTTGGTCGATGTAGTGCAGTGTTGGGGAATTGTGATTTCGCAAACTGGGGCGGAGTGATTTGGCGAAATCAGGTGAACGTTGGGGTAGGGTTTCAGATACACGAACGACACGCAAAAGAAGGGTTCATATTTTGAGGGGTTATGATTTTAACAAAAATTTTTTGGTGATTTTACACCTTTCGTTGCGTAATTTTTACAATAAAAATACTAACAGACAAGGAAAAATACAGGTATTAGGGATAATTGATTGAAAACGGTTAAACATCACGCGGGGCAATTGATCAATAAATGCATTTCTTTTTGTTGTTAAACCGCTTGAAAGGTCGTTAATGTTGCATTATACAAATTATTATCTGTATAAGTGGATCTCTTTTCTTTGTTCTTTCAAGTTTATACCTCATTTTCTAAATTATTCTATACCATTTACATACATAACAAATAATATGTGGTTTAGAGAAAAGTAAAGCTTATAATTTCACTGAAAAAAGCTTTTATGTAAAGTGGGACATAACAGAATCACGCTATTCTTTTCAGCAGAAGAAAATGTTCATAGTAATTTCATTACCAGGCTAGAGTTACACGTAGTATGATAACCCAACACAACGTAGGTCCCTCCGTTTCTAAATCCGAACGACGTTCGAAATCAACTAAGTATTTGTCGCAATTTCCACCGCAATATAGAATCGTGTATGAAGTCGTCCAGATTTTCAAACCCGGAAAGCCTGGCGACGCCCTCCCATAAATCCCTCAAATCGCGCGTTTAAAAGGTAATAAACAACTAGTGCAGAAACATCGAAAGGCCGAACCATTTCATCTTGCCATTGTACGTTTATGAAAGAACATTTCCGCAACGAGAACTTTACTTTTCCATAAAATGGCGGCCAGACACTAATAAAACTCCAACAATCCGAGCTTGTAACAGTCGCGGAAATTTTCCGAGGACGTGCACTGCAATCTTCGGTGTTTGCGTAACTGAGATTGTCTTTGCGGTTGGTACGGCGACGATATTTCATCGGATGCGAGCTTATCAGCAGTGTTGGCGGTAATGCAAGCAACACGCGGAGGTGACAAAACCTCAGGGTGGCGATATGGAATATTAAGCGGCTGGCGGAAGTGCGCCATCTCACGTCTGTGAACTCAAAACGGGAAAGAACGTCTTATAAATAACAGTTAAGTTTTGCATCGCGGTGAAGAACAACAGAGCTTTGCCCGGAATCGGAACGCGAGTCACGCAGGGGCGGGCCGGGGGAGGCGGCATTTTGACAATAGTCGCAGTAATGGCTTTATTCGGAGTTAGACGTAGACTTGTGCAGCGGAATCGGAATTCCAGCAGCTGCTGAAATATGACCAAAAAGAGGGCTTTCAGAGAAATATTAAAAAACAGACGGAGTAACGAGGTTTCTCATTAAAGCTGAAAGGTCCATGACCTCGGCAGTAGTTATATAGTGCGGGTTCTGGATCACTTGTTCGCATGCTCGGTTTTTAAGTGAGCCAGAACCCGCACTATATAAATCCAGTCGGTATTTCAAAGGAGTATTTTCAACGTTCGAGGAACGCCAGAACTGTGTTGCAGGAGATGCAATGTTATTATAATTAAAAAGTTGTGTCTAGGAAGCGTTAGCGTCAGTAACGTTGCCGTGGATGCTTGCTTGTTAAAATATAATCAGTGTAATACCCATTAAGATAATTAAGTTATTGGCATCATTATTACTTAGGAACTTTTTGCTATCCGTGAATTTGAGTTTTGACACGCCTTACCGAAGCAAGATATTGTGTTGCAAACTTCGCCCTAATTAAGGCAGTTTAAGAAGTTCCAACTGGGAATCTGTTCCAGTGAATATGAGTTTTAGAAATTCTCCGATGCACAAAGCAGAAGCTCTGCAGGAAAAATTTAAAGATTATGTTCCTCCAGCGTCCCGCATTACATCGGCTCTATGTCAAAGTCTTTAAAACGATTTAACCGGATCCTTTTCCAGCCCTTGCCTTGCATTCCCATCATTTCGTCGGAAGCTGAAAGCCTTATTTGTCTTTATTCCAGGCGAGTTTCGGGTCAATAAGCTCACGGAATAATTATTCTCCATCAAAAAGTTAACATTTTTCAGTGCAATTTGTCGACATGACAACGAATGCTCCATTATATAATTGCCTGTAGCAGCGAGTGGGGGTTTTAATAAAAGACTTTGTTTCCGGCGAAGGCGTAAGCTCTCCGGGGATGACATTTGCAGGAAAGAAAGTTTGCTTTGTTTAGAATTTAGTTGGTTGTGTACAAGACACAATGGTGGGGTTTGATTTACAAGTGGTGTCAGTTTCGGAGGTGCGGCGGGACGGTTTCAATCGGCATTTTCCATCACTCTATCGGCTAAAGCCAAACAACGTCCGTCTCGCGAGTCTCGAGGCCAAGTTTCGATTTTGTGTCAGAGTAGAGCGAATTGTTTCTTTTCGAGTTTGAGCGACGGGTTAATGTGTGCGTAAAGCATTATTAAATTCATAATTTAATTTGATCGAGTAAACTGTGGCCGCCGTAAAAGTAGTAATTACGAGGCAAATACAAGACTGATACGTTATTTGTGATCATTTCCTTAATGAAATTTTAATGTAATAACGTTAAGTTTTCATAAAGGTCGAGTTCCCGCGCCTTGTACGAGAACGGCTTCATGAATACATAATCTGCATCGCGAGGATAGAAGTTGTTATAATTAACACTTCTTATGGAAATCCCGTAAAATTAAACGGAGGTCTAAACTGGAAAATATATTCGCGAAATAAAACTAATCTACATTTAGTATTTCATATTTTATTCCGGCGACCCCCTCGCAAAGGTCTGGTGGAATTAAACTTGGTAAACTTCGACAAAGAATAAGCTCTCTGTGGATTCGAAACTTCTAACGCCTCGTTTCTGCCTTCCCTCCACGTAATCTATTATTAATACTCCCAACAATATCAATTCATCCTGGCTAAAGTGCTCCATTCAAACGCACAACAAGTAAATAAATACGGCGAACTTAAGCCAGTATCTTTGGATTTTTCCATAATGACATAAACAGACTTTTCCGGTTGAATCCGAACCCGAAGAAGCCATTCCGGGGATACGCTTTTATTTGTCCGGATCCGAAGACACGCACACACACATGCACACGACCTCCGGAATATTGATGAACGGCATCTAAAACGTCAAATTATCCTGCAATCAGAATCCTTTCGAAATCTTTTCATATTTCCAACGAACAAGGTTCTCTAAGTCCTTCCCATATTCATTGCTTTTCCCCCCAGTTCTCCAAGAATCGCATCTTCATTTTGCTCCTCCTGCAATAAAACTCCGCTACCGGAACGCGTTTTGCATAAAAATATGTCGAGGATGAAGAAGATATTCCCGGACTCCGGTCCAGATATGAATTGGCGTTATTAAGGAATCTGAATGTTAAATATCTCTGCCGTAGAAGGAGCAACTTTCGAGAATTGCCGCTCATTTATTGACGATTTCCTCCTTTATTACTTCGCGCATTTTAAATTCCTTTCGAATTATTTCGTCATTTTATTAATTTGCAAGCCATTATCAAGCCGCCCGGTTCAACGCACAGAATTTTATTATAACTTCCACGCTACGGACTACCGGAAATTATTTAATTATTACGCGGTATGCAAATGGACGGAAAAACTTTCCCTCTTAATTGGACTCGCCCGATGAAAATTCACCCGAAAACGAACAACCACACACAAAAAATCTTACACCTACAACAGCCACTTGGAGCCGTCCGAACTGGCGCAGCAGGTAGGATTTACCCGAAACTAACTTCACAATTTCCATCTCGAGAACACTTCTCGTAATTCTACATGACGTCTTAAGAGACTAGTGGCAGCTTAAAACTTTTGACACTTATCAACACCGATATTCCGAAGCTGACACATAACGCAAAAATCTAGACACCCTTGGTTAAGCAACACGCGTACGTGGCGTAGTCGCTGGGATTTACCGAAAACTAACTTGGCAGTTTCCGCCGAAAAGTCTCGTCGAAGTGGAGATTTCGACACTCGGTTACCTTTATGCATGATTTGTGAAGTTGGCTCAGCAGGTAGGATTTCCCCGAAATTAATTTAACGGGCTCGTCCTGAAAACACCTATCATAGTCGCAAGCAAAAAGCGTCTTACGAAACTAGCAGCTTAGAACTTTGACACTTAGCGACACCGATACTCCCGTACTTTGTCGTGTCTTTATGTCTAAGAGCCCCCAAAAAACTCCAAACTATCCGAAATCTCTTTCGCGTGTGCCTTTGTGAGGCTCCGCTTGAGCACCACTAAACTAAACATTCCCCAAAGTTTACTTCAAACGATTACATTAGTAGCGGGCGAATGTGTTTGCGACTAGTCCTCTAAATGTAGCAAAGTTATGTGATCACACGCATGCGGTTAGTGCGGTCGGTTTGTGTAACATAACCCCAATTTTTGGTCATACTCCGTTTAAACCCACGTAAACGAACCCGCCAAAAATACGATCGAGCCTTTAAAACGAAGAGAGTGAACCGATGATTAGCTAAGCCGCGACGCATTTATCAAAAAGCGGAGAGTTGTTAGGTTCGGGGGTGTCTCATAATATTCCGCCGCAAATCCTTCACTAAAACGTCCCGAAATAATACAAGAAATCCCTCCCACGCCCTCTTAATAATGCATCAGACCCTATCCGCCCTCGTCTCTTTCAAAATAAATAAAGCTGCAATCGATTCGCGCCATAAAATCGAAACACCGACCGTCGAATTTTTCCCGTCGCGACTGAAATTACCCCATCGCAAGAAGAAAAATGGAGCGCCGACGTCCGCAACCATCAAACATCGATTTGCATCGCAGGAAATGAAAGCGTCATTAGCTTATATGATGTATTGTGTTTATTGTCGACTTACGTGCCAGCGATGGTCGAAAATGGATGGCGCGGTGGTAGCTCTCGATGGCTTCGTCCAACCGCTGTCTCGCCTGGAGCAGAATACCCCTGGAACAACATGAATGGTGATTAGGCTTTCGACACCAACACAATGCCCGGCGATATTTTAGATTGACAATCTACGATACATCACAATGACTTGCCACCTCACACCGGGCTCATTTCCTATACACAAAGGGGCGCCAGGGACGCCGGGAGGGCCCATTCTTACACCTCGAGAGCTATATTGATCACGGGGCCTAAAATAACGACCATAATATATTGGTTTTTTATGTCGCGGCGCCCAAAGTGGGGCATCAACGGCTTTGACACCAGGACATAGCACATTTTCATTTTTACGACGCCGGAAAAGCTAAATTCCCAGCGATATTTTAGGCGCAACAACATAAATAACAATCTGGGACTAAAACAATTACGCTAGTGCGACGAAACGTGGACACTCGGAGGCGACTGTAAGAGCTGAAAATGTGCCCAATGTGGTGGTGTTTTTATTGGTATTGGTACGGATTATAGAACAATGGTAATATTAATCACGCTAGAAAACGGGAACACTTGGGGGCGACTGTAAGAGTCGGCATACTAAAGCTCACGGAGAAAACTTTTATCGTTTCTACGATTGGCTTGCTGCTCGAGAATTGAAAGTGTGTCCGGTGTGGTCTTCGGATTCTTATTGTTTTTAGAGTGCGGTGATCCTCAGCAGTGCATCGTTTTGCATTCGAGGTCGCGTGGATTGTATCATAATGAAAGTTCTTTTTCTCGGCCATTAAAGAAACGCTGCCGGAATTAGGAGGATCCGGAGGTGTCTATTTTATGGCGGATCGTAAAACACAATAAATCCTAACGTTGAGCCCCGACATACACCTTGCCGATCGCCTACGCGTTCCACATAAACCCATATTATGTGTTTTTCTCAAGCAAAACGGCCATATTTCACCAGGGCTGTCCCTCACGTCATAAAGCCGAGGCCGAGGAATCGCATGCGAAACTACGTTTAAATTTAATAACGTTTGTCGTGGCATTATCATAATGGCACCTGCCAAAAGAAGGATTTGGCTTTGTCCGTGCACTCTTGTTGCGAATGCAGCCAATTTTATCTCTCGTACAGTTTGCAACTTGTAAGTGGCACATTCACATAACTTTCGTGTTATTGCAGCAGGCGTAAGACCCGAGTCGGGGCAAATAGAGAAAAAGGACACGTGTAAACACAAGTTGAAAAATAAGAAAGTTTAGTTAATAACGTGACCTTTAGACGCGACAAATTTATTGTATTTGGTAGGTATTAGAGTGGAGCGGAAGTGGGTCAGAGTATTTGCTTTGGAGAAATAAAAATAGGTGAAAATAGCAAGCGGTTTTTCTATGTAGTTCGAAGTGAGTCCACGCAACGAAATTAGGTTAATTGCTGTGCAAACAGTGCCGATGGCACCAAATCCTATCTCTACGACTTTATTAGCTTTTATTCAAAACACAATCGAAATAAAAAAGGAGGGACGACCGGGGGCGTTTCCAACACGTGTCGGCGTTCGTATGAATTCAGACCCCTTTCGAGAATTCCCTTTGACACCAAAAATTATTCAACGGGAGTTACCGGTCGTACCATTCGTACAACCGCCGGAGTCCCAGCCGGTCTTTATTTCTCCGCACGTCAAGCTTGCTGGACGACGTGAACCACATTCACGCCATCCTTGGAACGAAAACAACATAGGAACAACACATTAGCTTAAAAAAAGATATTAATTCATGTCCATCAGCTGGTGGAGTATCTCTATCGATCCCATTATTTATTAACCACAAATTTGCCGCTGAATTATTAATTCGAGGTTAATAATGAATCCGTTATCACTCGAGCTGTCGGGATTCCAAAGATAACACCCTTTTCCGTTCCATTTACGACATAATTCGATTAGGACAATGCTGAAAACAGCCGTCTACAGTTTCGTTCCAAGAATGGGAACTCAGCTGCCCCTTGCACCCTTATAATCGCAGGAATCAACTAAGCAACTAACCGCAAGCCATTTGCTTAGGGTGCCATTCTCAATGACGTTTTGTTGTCGTAGGTGCTCTGATCCTATAATCAGCTACATGTCTCCCGAGCTTAAGATGATGCGGGCGAAGGCCTGGTATCGACTTTCCAATTACCTTCCAGATTCATTTTGACACATCTTTTCGGCGATAAACGACAATAAAGAAGCTACACAGATTTGCACCCCGCGTTTTTGGAAGACCAGATAACGGATATCTGAAAGAGACTTGTGGCTTGTTTTGCTTTTTGGAACTATCTTCGCAGTAGCTACAGATAAAATTGTCATTTGACGTGTTTTCATTACACTATATAGTACAGCACGCAATAGAATAACAAATTTCCAATGCAAATATTACAATGTTTTGCATCCAAGATAAATAGTGGTGGAAACATTGGAGTAATAAAATGTTGGAATCGAGGTCTGTGTTGTTTTAGGGGGGCGGAAGCAATCTCACTTGTAAACTACGTCGAAATTAAAATAACGCTTTTATGGAAAAGGTTTTTTCTAGTATCGAGTCCAGCTAGAGTTCATATTATTTAGTGATTGGCTGTGTTTTTGGTCGAATGTAGTTGAGAAAATTTTATCCGTCCGACTGCGCCAATCACTCGCCTAAAATACCAGCCGAGAAATCCGTAGCCTAGTTTTGCTAATGTTGCATTTTTAATGGTCGTTAAAGAGTTGCCAATTCCGTCGAGCTTTTATTGAAAATTTAATCGTTTAATCGAATCGGCTTGGCTAAAAACAGTTCGGAATCCTCAATCCGACAAGGGTAGTTTGAGCTCCACCATAGTTAATCGAATTCGAGTTCTAATTCACGAAATGGGACTTGGAGTTGGTGATTGCTTCTTGAGCATTCGGTGCCTCCCAGTAATGTCGCCCATACAAGTTCGACCTTTTATTGGATAATTAATGGCTCGACTGTTTCGGTGTTGATTCGATAAACAAGTGATGGCGCTGGCCCGTGTTTGTAAATATTTAGAGGTGCAATAATCGTGCCTAATTCGATGATCGCTGCTTAATATTTGGAGTGCAAGCCTGCGAAAAAAGTTGTCAATGGAAAGGGGGTCAGAAGGAATTTGTTGTATAACGAGAAGCCCGGATGTAATGGAGAGCGTGCGCGTCGCAAAAAACCGTCACAATGGGAGCTTAATTCGCTGTGAGGGACAATCGCGACGAAAAAATAGCCCGATTATTCCGGGGCGGCTGAACAAAAGTGTATGAAAGATAATTAATTCAATCCGGCAAACAAATCTACAAGACGTTACATTGAATTGAATTCCGTTCCATAACAAACTTCCCAAGGGGACAAGTTAATTATTAGGAAACGAAATAGGACTCCAAAATTAAGACATTTGACATCCTCGAGGACTACAATGAATTATTACGGTCTTAATTAATTAAATACTCAACAAACACGCGAGCCCGGCCCGTTCCACACCGCAGAAACTAGAAATGCGCAGTTCCCTGATCATTTACATTGCATTCGCATACGTCTGGGTCGCGATAATGTAATTGCGAACGACACGACACCGCGACATGATGCTGCCGGATTTTTCCTTCCGTATCTTTTTTCTCGTCCTTGTTAATCGCATCTACTTTGTTGTTCGTTTTATTTGCGTTTAGCTCTCCCCTATAAAATACCACATAAACTTAAATCAGCGAAGGCACGGAAGCCCAGCAATCTCGGCCCCGATAAAAAGAGCGTCGAGGCTCAATCTTGCGACATTTTTGAGCTTCTCTGCGCCCGAGCGAGATGGCGAATGGGAATGAAGCATTCCATGTAACGAACGCAATTCAGGTTGCGGATACGTACATCAGTCCCGCTTTAATTGCCAATAAACATGATAAAGCATTCTAGGTCCTGTAGGAAACCCCTTTCGTCCTGACGCGAATCATTAACCACCCACATCCATCGTACATGGCTGTCGCTCCGCCATAATACATTCTGATACCATACCTTCCACTGATGCGACGCTTTAAATGCCTCCTGCATACATCCACGGCAACGGCAATCCGATTACTTAATGGCAACTCTCTCAACATTATTCAAGTTTTTGCTCCAAGACGATGAGAATATCGTCCTATATATCCTTTAACACGCTTAATCCGGACGGAGTAAGCAGCAATAGTTAGGGGAACGAACCCGCTTCATTCCCCAACTTTTTACTTCTTTTCTTTGCTAGTACCGCTAAAGCAAATGGATGAGCTGCTTAACATAATCAATATTGATGATATATTGTCCGGGGCGTACCTAAAACCCCACTTTATTATCTCTTATCGGTTTTCTCGGCCCGATACAAGGCCACTTTCCCTATCATTGCCGGACTTTTTATACCGGACGAATATTCACGGAAAAACGGGCTCTTTCTTGCTCCACTGGAGGGAAAAACCGGAAAACATTCACCAAGCGGACACTTCGGGTTTCGCCTCTAACAATTATTGGTATTTTTTCTGGACTTGTAGCCAGGAATCGATGCCCTGGCTCATAACACTCCAAGAGCCTCTTCACCAACTTATTGGATGCTCTGCCCCGATATTAAACACATTCGCGAAATCAAAAACATCAGCCTCAATAAACTCACGGTTCGGAAAGCGAAAATGCATCCCACCGACTGCGCCAGAAGTGCGGCCATAACACGAATCGAACGAAATAACGCCGATTGGATCGTAACGCTTAAAACTCGGCTTAGGGGCTCATTATATGATTATGCCGGCGTTGATGCGCGTTCGTTCTGTTTTCCTTTTCGGGTTCGGGTATATAAAATTTTATGTTATTGAGATGTGTCAGAAATGGGTATCGTTTTCTGGCTTGTAAATGTTAATGAATGAAAAACAGCTGGGATTTGGCGCTTTCGCGTTCGCTCGTTCGTCATAAACCCCCGAATATGAGCCCGGCCTTAGAGCGGCACTCTTTCATAGCTTCCCCATTAAAAGCGGCTGTTTCGCTTATTTGTACTTTTCCATCCACACGGCAACAACCGTTAATGGAAATAAACAGTCCGAATCCATCGTCGCAGGATTAGTTGC